GCTCAATTGCGATAAGTGCCAAAGTATAGGACAAAAATTTGCAGTCTCCACCGCAGAGTGGTGTCGTCTCCATGTAAGTGAAAAATTCTGGAGAGGGACGTTAAACAACATACGTATAATCAATCAATCGATTGCTGAAGAATTACTGTAATTGAATAATCTGTCTTATAGGTATGCTGTCAAATCTTGATATTATAACTTTACAAAACTCAGTGACTTTACGTTTAATGTGATACTAACTTAATTCATTATATTTTTTATAACACCATACACAATTATGCCAAAGCATACATGATGGTACGGTGTTCGTTCGTCTGTTTGTTTGTCTTAGAAATGATTGCAAACAATTTTTTTTAAAATTGCTAATGATATACGTATATCTCTTATAGGTGCCAAATGTATTATACAAGATTGATAATGAAAATCAAAGTACCTTAAGTACTGAAAGGACTTTTTTTCCAGTTATTTTTTTCTTTCACAGTAAATATGATATGTATGTTTTTTACACAGAAAAAAAAGCAAATTCTTACAGATTTAGAAGAACGGAAGACTTTTTTGTTGCCATGGCAACAAGTGTCTAGTTAAGTCTTCCGTTCACAACGGAAGAAGACTTATAGTGATTGTATTGTTTCTTTTTATTATTATTATTATTATTATTATTCCTCCCAAATTTTGTGAGCGCGATTACTCAGAGATGGTTGGATAGATTTTCACAATTTTTCACATGATAGTAGGCTGATATATGAAGTTTATATAAAATTCCATTTTTTGAAAAATTCACTTCCGGTCCGAAGTTACGGCCGAATTTCCAATTTTTAAATGGACTTTTGTCCGGAATTTTTCTCGGAAACGGTTTGAGGTAAAGATGTGAAATTTACAGGGGTATTAGATCATGACATTCTCTTTGTTTCGAAGTTGTTTTCGTGTGTTTCCGATACTTCCTGTCAGAACCGGAAGTGAACTTGTGTTTGGTCAATTTTCAACTTTTTTGTTTTTTAATATTTTTTCAAGATATTGTTATGTATAACAGAGGTTATTCTACATATACTAAATATATAATTTGTTTTGAAATCAGATTCCACATTTTGCAGATTTTCGGTACCCTCATTTTCCCTAGTTACCTAGTGTGTAGACAATGGGCAAAGAAAGATAACTCTGACTTGTAAGTGAGAATAGAACTTTCGAGATAAAGGCGGAAATAGTATCGATGACGTTAGAGACATATACACTCTCCATATCAAAATATTTAGACGTTCTATATTCACTCTTCAAAATTTAAGAGGACGTTGGTTACCGCTTCCATTGCATGTAAAGTTTGAAGTTGCCAGTGTAGTGTAAGTCTGTATTGACAGTTAGTTAATTTACACATGAATATATCTATAAAAAAATTAATATATATATATGCTAGGTAGCTAATTCAAGTAAATATATTATAAACACTGAATATACATTTATAGTGATGGACAGGCGTGCAGTTTTATCTATTTCGTATATTAAGTTCAGAATACGATAGTTATAAGCCTTCTATAATGCAGACGATTTATTATTCTCTATGATCTGAATGCGAAATTATCCCGATTTCCGAGTTTTACTTTCGATATTAAAAAATATTACATACACTCAAAAAAGGAATTAAGCAATAGAAAATTGTAATACAGTACTGTTTTAAAGCCTTTATAAATAAATTGATATCTGCCACTGAAAAGAAAGAAAATCAATCTATAGATTAGATTTGGTTATTACATATATATTTGATTAAAGGTTAAATTATTTATGACACATGATCTATACTCTATATACCCAAGGAATTATAAAAGATGTGAAAAGGCGATTCTTGGATTCTTGTGAAATACTCAAAGAGTTAAAGAGTGTGTGAAATAATGGTACGCTATATGTTTCTTTTGAAAAAAAAAACATGATAAAAAAATTGTACAAGTCTGGTGATATGTGGGATAAGTATATCTGAATGAACACAATTTTATGCAATGATATATAATCATGTACATGCAACTGACGTCCGTACTTTTCCTTGTAATTCATAAAATTATCTAATTCCTTTGAAGCCCCCCCCCCCCCCCCCCCCCCCCCCCGTCTTGAATTTGAATTATATATTCGTTTTAGATTTAAATCTGGAACATGTGAATAACATTACCATTTACATGTATACAGAATTTCATATTTTATAATTATGAAATGTTCAATTTACATGTCTGAGAGAGAGAGAGAGAGAGAGGAGAGATTCCCTCTTAATCCCGATCCAGACCAAAAATTAGTTCTTTATCGGTCACACCCATTCTTTATTAGATGTTTTCTGATTTCATAGTCAGTCATGGTCACATCCTGTATATTTTTCAGCTTAAAAAGTATCACACGAAGTGCACGTGTGTTGACCTGTCAATCAAAATCACTTGACGCTGTATGCACTGCAATTAAGTAGCCTGAGTTCGAAATGATCTTGAAGTATGATTTTTAAGTAAATCTGCTGCAACAAACTTGTGAAAAAAATAGAATAAAATAAAAAATAAAATATCTCGGTATTATGAACTTCGACTGTGGGACGTGGAGACCGGTCCTTTGGATGAGATCGTATAAATCGAGGTCCCTTGTCGCAGAAGATGCTGGCATAAAAAAGATTCCCCACTGCTCAATTGCGATAAATGCCAAAGTATAGGACAAAAATTTACAGTCTCCACCGGCGAGTGGTGGCGTCTCCATGTGAGTGAAAAATTCTGGAGAGGGACGTTAAACAACATACGTATAATCAATCAATCAATCAATCGATTGCTGAAGAATTACTGTAATTGAATAATCTGTCTTATAGGTATGCTGTCGAATCTTGGTATTATAACTTTATAAAACTCAGTGACTTTACGTTTAGTGTGAAACTAACTTAATTCATTATATTTTTTTATAACACCATCACAATCATGCCAAAATATACACACAATGAAGTTTATGATAGTACGGTGTTCGTTCGTCTGTTTGTTTGTCTTAGAAATGATTGCAAACAATTTTTTTTTAAAATTGCTAATGATATACGTTTATCTCTTATTGGTGCCAAATGTATACAAGATTGATAATGAAAATCAAAGTACCTTAAGTACTGAAAGGACTTTTTTCCAGTTATTTTTTTCTTTCACAGTAAATACGAAATGTATGTTTTTTACACAGAAAAAAAAGCAAATTCTTACAGATTTAGAAGAACGGAAGACTTGTTTGTTGCCATGGCAACAAGAGTCTAGTTATTATTATTATTTTTCTTCTTCTTCCTGGGTACTTTTTTGTCCGCGAGTGATCTCGTCAACTACTCATCCGATTGAGGTGAAACCTTTTTAGGGTTAATAGTCATGTTATGTAGATTTGCGGAATCAAAGTCATTTTGCGCGCACGTGCGTGCAATGTGTAAAATGACCAATATACTTGATATAGCTGTAACTTTTATATTTTTTGATGAAATGCTTTAATACTCAGAATATAAGGATATATTAAAAGTGTAAACAAGATGACATGGTCAACATGCACATGCATGCACATGTGCGCACGCGCAAGGCGTAAAATGACAAATATACTTGATATACTCGTAACTTTTATACTTTTTGATGAGATGCTTTGATACTCAAAATATTTATATATATTAAAAGTGTAGACAAGATGACATGATCATCATGCACATGCATGCATGCATATGCATGCACGTGCGCGCGTGTGCAATGTGTTAAATGACCAATATACTTAATATAGCTGTAATTTTTATATTTTTTTAGGAAAAGCTTTGATATTAAGAATATACAGATATATTAAAAGTGTAGACAAGATGATGTGGACATCATGCTCATGAATGCACATGCGCGCGCGTGCAATGTGTTAAATGACCAATATACTAAATATAGCCATAACTTTTATATTTTTTTTATAAAAAGCTTTGATACTAAGAATAAACAGACATATTATAAGTGTAGACAAAATGACATGGTCATTATGAACATGCATGCAGGTGCGCATGCGTGCAATGCTAAGATGACCAATATACTTGATATAGCCGGAACTTATTTATTTTTTGATGAAATGTTTTGATACTGAGAATATAAAGATGCATTAATAGTATAGATGAGATGACATGGTCATCCTGCACATGCATGCACGTGCGCGCGCGTGAAATGCAAAAACCTATCAATATACTTCATTGCCTTATTTAATGAAGCTTACAGGAAATAAGACCCCAAAAGGGTGTTGGGGAGCATTTGGGGAACATCTGTAACGGTCCCCGTTACAATTATAACTAGTTAAATTTTGATTTTATTTTTATAACATCAGCTATTTATTTAATTATTTAATTTCAAGTTCAAAAGAGGAAAATCGTAGTTTGTGAATACTTTGATGTTGCAATATCGCTTGCCCTGTTAAATTAACATAATTTTCAACATGATTACCTTAAACTAAAAATAAATATGATAACTGTTAAACTTGCAACAGTATCTCGTGCTTTGTTGAAATAAAATTATTTCCACAAAGAATAGTTAGAATACGGCGATGTATAATTTCAATATTACCGTTCACTAAAAAAAAAATTAATAATAAACTCTGTTAATACTTGAATGCAACATTATCTCGTGCTTTGTTAAAATAAATAATTTCCTCCAGATTGTCGCGATATGGAAAGTCAAGATTAAAAAATAAAAACGCATTTGAATAAAATATCGTGTTCTGTAAATTTTTGGCACTTTATCTCCGTGCCGATTTTCATAGCAAATTACCGCGATTTTCAAAAGTTCAGAACACCGCTTGGTAAAATTTTCTGCTGCGTATAATACAACCGAACTGTGTTTTTTTCCCCTAGTTTCAGGCTCAAAAAGGGGGGTGCGTATTTTACACCAATGCGTATTATATTCGGCCAAATACGGTATATGAAATGTGTATTATTGAGATATTTTTGTATATGAAATGTGTATTATTAAGACATCCATGTACATGTTTTATGGTGTCTTGTATTCTTTTTGCAGGTGATAAGAGTGACCCAGAAGGGAAAAGCCTAATTTGTCATGAGCACGTGTCTGACAGCGAGACGGACTCCCAGACGGAGGAAGATGTTCCTACAGAGAACAAAATTAACAAGGCCTTCCCACAGCAACGATTTTCCCCCTCCAATCAGCCCACTGATATAGCCTTTAGGTATTTGAACCATTCCAGAGTTAAATTCTTGATTGAATGGATTTTTTTGCCCTTTGTGAAGTTTTTTTTTAGTTCTTTAACATCACAGGATTATTACTTCATAGCTGATTTTCTGTACATTCAGCATAAAAGTGTTTCAACAATTGGAGCTGTGTTAAAATTTCACTGTAAGATAGTACATGTAGTATGCATTACAGTGCATATATTGTTCTTCATTTCAGACCTACCCCAATCAAGAAGTTGCCTGAAGGTCAGCCCAAGGTTGTTCAGTCATCAATACCTGGGGCAGGGCTTGACTTGGCTGAACACATTCCAAGACCATCCAGTGTAGGCTCTGGTTTCCAGCCTAAAGGTTTGTTTGAAGGAAGATGTAGAGAGAGTAATAAAACTTTATTTTAAACTTGAATTTTGATGCAAGCGATTCCTTTGATATTTATGTTAGAAATATTAAAATTACCATGTATGTTACTGCAGAAAACATTCAGTTTGCATTTCTGATATTTTAGGTGCTGTCTTCAGAGCAAAAACTGCCCATTCAAGAATGGCCTCTACAGGAAGTGTTTTGGAGGGATCTCATGCTAAGCATGATAGCACTCCAAGACTCTGTCAACAACCTCCAATTAAAGTGGGCAATATGAAGATCCACAATATCACTATGACAACGCAAAACCAACAGCTTATTGTGTCCACAACCACTGAAACTGTGATTGGGAAGCAGAATTCCAAAGGTCAGGTGATTAATAAAGTGACAAAGTCCAAGCAGAGGAACAATTCTCAGCAGGTGCCCATACAGCCTGCTGTAACCCCACCCTTACAGTATCAGACTAAACCAGTTACTTCAAGCAATGTGCAACTAATTGCCCCCAATCAGACCATAGCTACAAATATGGTACAGAACAACATGGTGATGCCCACTTTCTCAACTATGGGCAAACCAATTACCACTCCTGTGCCCATTGCTTCGAAACCCATTGTTTCAATGCAGCAAGCACATATTGCCACACCTACAACTCTTAAGGCAGGAGTTCCAAACATTCAGCAAATTCAGACCAGTCCCAACAATGGTGTTAAAGGAATGAGCACAATTGTCCTGCAAAACATTCCAGCCTCTCAGTATACTATTTTGAATACCCAAAATATTGGAAGTCCTGTAGCTGTAACAAAAGCCATAACTACATCAGTCTCCACAATTCAAACAAATCAGGTCTCTGGAGGATTCATCACAACACTAAGAAATATTGCTCCACCTCAAAACCACCAATCACAGCCTTCACAAACTCCTACTACTATTTATACAAATCTAGTGCAACTGAAGTCCACCAATCAAACAGCAGCTACACCTTCAGTATTGAATGCTGTGAATTCCCAGCCAGGACTTCAACCAACACAGATTCAATACATTCTTCCCTCAGTGAGATTGGAGACTCCTAATGGAGGCAAAGTCCAAAATCTTCTGCAAATGGCCCTTCCTGGTGGACAAGTACAACAGGTAAATTAAATCACACTCTCAACACCTGAAAGCTTAAAATTTGATCATTACTTTATGTTTCATTTTCTCTCTTAATAACAATTTCTCTGCATTCATGAATTTCATGTAGATTGTAGTCTAAACCATTTTTCTCTATATCTACTGTCAGATGCAAATTTTCCAAATCTCTAGCAGTTTTTCATGTCAGAATTTCATTCAACACAATGACTGTTGAACACCTGCTTCTTGTTCATGGGAATTTTTCTAAAGTAAAACTATTGGCATTCATGGAACAATTTTTAAGTGATTTTTTAATTAATTCAAAAATTCAAAGGAGATTTTGACATTATTTTTTCTCATAAACCTAAACCATGTTTTTAGCAATTCCCTCATGTAAATAAATGTTTTAAGCATATGTTCAATAGTACTTCATGTAAAATTCATTAGGCTTATCTTACAAGGTGAAAGTTGGCACCATTACAGTGTAATTTCAAGTCACTGTGATGCTTCATTATGTTCATCCTATCAGCTTACATCTTTTCATTTTGACCTTTAGTTGTCCTTTGGTGGTAACCAATCACAGGCTCCCTTACATTCTCCACTACCACCTCAGATGCACCAGCAACATTATCCATTACAACCCTCTCCTCAGCCAGTTCATACTGGACAAAAGATCCAGCTGGCTCCAGCTGGGTCCGGAATCAAGATAAGCCCAGTCAAATTCCAGGTACAAACCAGGGCTTATACCTGTCAGAGGCTGTTTGGATTTAGTAAATCCTGATTTTAAAAGTTTAAGAATACGCAAGTTTCGAGATTGTAGCTCTCCAACAATAGAGGCGCAAAAAGTATCCATATCAGCATGAAAGTGGGACAGGTTAATACACAACGTGCATAAATAAATACGCGATGGCGAGGGCTTTTAAAATATATTTAGTGTTATGGAAAGATTATACGTGAATACATAATGTCAAACAGTGATGGTTTTGATGATTGTGTTGATCTATACTTTACATGTTTTACAAAATCTACTTTTAATTAGGATACTTGAAATTAAAAGAACCCTCATAGTTTTCTGTGAAAAAGACGCTTCCTTGATTACAAACCTTTTCTAAAAGAAATGATGGACCCTTTGAAATTATTATAAGGGAAAAAGTCGATGTGTCATTCAGAATGTCGGCGTGCAAAGATCAGATGTGCGTGTATTGGAGATCCATGTCTCTTCCCTCCTCTGATGTATTATCCATTGATATTTTAGTTTTTTTTTCCGATTTTGGGGTAGAAAAATAAATTAATGCCATTACTAAAATTAGGTTATTTTCGAGTTGATGAGAGCATCCCGATAGACAGTTATGATAGACCAGTATAGATGATGTAACTTATCCAATATAAACAACTGTCCCACCTGCCAGTTTATGCTGAAACAAAATTCCCCTCTGTCACGAAAGAGCGCACCAAGGGAGATAATCTCGAAACTTGCGTATTGGGTTGTTTGTATTTTAACGAAATAAAAATCTTTCATCTGGAGAGAGTATTGATAGTAAACGGGACATATTGTATAAATTTTTTCTGAAAACATTCATTTTAGGATTCATTTAAAGTACTAATACAGGAGTTGCCCATTTTGCAAGATACATGTAACTAAAAAAAAAATTTTGTTGGGTTTATGAAAAAAAAATACATGCACACATACATCTTAATTACATGTATTAAATATTTAACAGATTAAGTTAATCATGCATTAAAAAAATCATTTCCATTTTATTCTTTCATCCATTTATCTCTTTCTATTTCAAAGTTAATATTTCTTTAACCAATTTCAGTCAGATATAAAACATAAAGGAACTTGTTTATATATTAAAAAATGTTAAGATAAATTCAAGCTTAAGAATTGGTCAGTAAGTATTTTACATTATCTTCAATTTCTTCTTAATACCGTACATGTAAGTCACAGCTGTGTCCAATTGTAAGCTTCAACTATGTCATTTCCTTTCTTTTTCTTTAGGGTCAAGGCAATCTTCTTCAACCTCAGCAACAGCAGCAACAGATTGTGCTAAATGCCACCAAACAACAGGGTCTCCCTGTGACAGTTACCCAGTACCAGATAGTTAATCAGCCCTCCCCTTTACCCACTGGTTAGTAGTACATGTACTCTTAACAGAAACCAGCTATCTATCTTGACATTAAACACATAACACTACGTAATCCTCATCATATGTATTTTAATTGGCAGTTCTATTTTAGTTGTGAATCGTGTCTCTTGCTTTATAGATGATCAAAGTTTAAATAACATAATACATTAAAATGTCAAAGAACTTGGTTATAATGTCCTCATTTTATTTATTGTAATAGAAATTTGACCTCAAGAAAGGCAAGATATGATTACCTACCTTCTGCACAGTTCTTACATATATTTTAAGTAAAAATGAGACAGACTGAATTATATGTATGCAAGTATATAGAATGACTTGGATTTCTTGTGAAATGTGCAACAAAGTTGTAGGGAAGATATACTGATTCACCATGTCTGTCTTTCCTTCTTGTAAATGAAAGACTAAGCTCAAAGTTCAGATCCTTTATCTTAATGGGTATCCAAATCTAATTTGCTAAATATGATGCATCTATGGATAGGAAATGTGACCATGCTTTGGAGACTACATTTGACTGACAGACTTTCATGTATATCTTGTGCTTCCTTGAATCTGGTTAAATGAAATTTTCATAACTTTAGCATTTAGTTTACTTTCTGGCTCATCTCAGCCTTTCTCAGAGGATATTTAAAGAAAATGTGCAGAAAGGGTGACAGGATATCAAGTACAATGCATGCTCCATATACTTCAACTGACCTACATTTTAGGCTGTGGCAACTCTGGTCAAGTTCAGTGCTCAGTGTTAGTCTATGAAAAGTTGTATCCAAATCAAACAGAAAAGTATGGTACATTCTTTTTATGTACTGTAATAAATGCTGTAAAGGCTTCAAGGTTCAGGCTGAAGCATTCAGAGAGAAAGAATGAAGTAAAATTGTGACAAAATTTTATTGGTATGACCATTATCCACAAATTTAGTTTTCCTCAAAACTGTCACATTGTGACACTCTGAACACAGTAATTACTGTCCTGCTGATCTTGAAAATAAAGATTCCAAGACTTTTTCTGTATGTTTCTGTGATACACTTTGAAATCTATTGTGGCCACATCCTACCTGGAAAGGTCAGGATTTGAACAAATATGATTCTATTTGATTTATTTAGTTATTGTAACATATATGCCAGTTATCTAATGGTCAGTTTTTAAATATGTAAAATAAAAGTAGAATTAGCATTAAATTGCGGTAATCATTTTCATAATTTAAGCCTATTAAGAATAGGAGTAATAAACAATTTTCTACTGGAATTTTTATTTAATGAGAGAGATAATTTGTACTGCTGATAATCGGTGTTTGACTGTTAGATTGTTGGAGTTTATTAAGAACTTAAGACAATTAATTATCAGCTTTTGGGAAAATACTATTGGTATATTCACCTTGATGACAGACGTAGTAGTTTTGTGCAAAATATTCTGAGAAATGTATTTAGTTCACAAAATGTCAGATGATGATTTCTTTTTTTTTTTTCCTTTGGGGGGAGGGGGTCCACTTACATGTATATTATTATTGAAAATAGTCAGAAAAACTTTCTTGATTATAAATCAACCCAAACTTCATTGGACATTTGATTTCGTGGATGACTCAACAATGAAATCCACAAAAATCAGTGTTAAATGAATAATGATGAAACCACAGTAGTCAAATGAATCAATTTATATGCAAGCAACCAGACGTTATGAAGATTTGTCCAAATCATGGGCCCAAGGGCTTGTATGGGGTGTCAGAGTTTATACTGGATTAGATAGGAAAATTATTTTAAATTTTCAGTGAACTGGTGGACTACAATAAAACAAATTAAGATAGCATATTCATATAGTGGAGATTCATTGATGTTCATGGAGGTCGTTGGGTGGTTGAGGGGCATTTAAGTTAAACATTTTCATAGGAATATATAGACTTTTTTCATTAATGATTTAGACAAAATAAAAAGGGTAGAATCACATGTTCTCAAAGTTTATGCCAGAAGAAAGTGTTTTTGTTGCACACATAAGTCATTCACTGTCAAAAGAGGTGAGATTGTGGAATGTGGATCTCTTGTCTGTTTTTTTTTAATTTCTGCATTGATCTCAATATTACAGGAGCTGTAGCAACATCACATCAGATACCTGCAGTATCCCTGGCTCAGCCAATTGTGTCACTGGGAGCCTTCCAACAACAGCAACAAACCATCACCCAGCTCCAGGGCCAAACCCCTGGTGCCACAATCACACAGCTTCAGGTTCACCCACAGACCCGTACCCACATACCAACTCCACACACTCCCACCCAGGTAGCAGGCCAGGGGCAGATCACCCAGTTACAGCAAGTTACTCAAATGCAGCAAGCTAAACAGTATCCTGTCAGTCAGGTGTTGACTCCTGGGGCTCAGTACCAAACAATGGGGCAACAGCAGCAGAGATTCCAGTTTCTGCCCACACAGCAAAAGTTGGTGTTATTTCAGTATTATTATCAGTTTCTAGCCTAAGATCCATGATCTTAAAATCAGTTTTAAATATATTATACCTTTTCAGGGTGATGGTTCCTCAGTCAGTGACTATAGCATCAGTTGCCTCCCCTTCACCAGCAGTCTCCCCAGCTTACATTCAGACCTATGTAGGATCTATTCAGCAAAGTAAGAGTTTACTTTTTAATTAACTCATCCAAAAAAATACTAAAATTAATGGAACAGGTTTTAATTATGTTAAAATTCCACTTTTATACTTTAGGAATTTAATTTTTACGTAGGGAGCACAGCAATTATTTTTTCAACCCAATGGGAATGGTTCCTGTACTAATCTGGGAAAAGTAGCATTGAAATAGAAAAAATTCAGAATTTTCTGTCATATCAACAAATCATAAATGATGGTTGTACATTGTATTATGCTTATTCCAAACTCATTAACTATTAATTCATGTTTTAAAGAATAAATAACAAGTATTCATTGTTTGACATAATATTGTTCTCACATTTTCATGCTTTCAAGTTCTCAGTGACAAACCCTAGGCTGTCTAGAACAAGCGCCTCACCATATTACAGCTTATCTCTACTTTTGATTTAGAAGAAGTGAAAAATTTTAGTTAACTAGTTCAACATCTTTTACAAAAAGAATTACAATGTCATCGCAGTCTGTTCTTTGGCAGTTGACTTTGGAATATTTAGTCTCAAATTGGGAAAAATCTGCATTTTTAGCTCACCTCGACGAAGTCGAGATGAGCTTATGCTATACCCCCGGCGTCGGCGTTAGCATCGGCGTCCCAGGTTAAAGTTTTAGGAGCAAGTCCCATTCCCAAGTAACTATAAGCCCTACTTGGACCAAACTTGCATGGATGATGCATCTAGGGATGGACACTACCACACTTGCTTCGGATGCTGGATCTGACCTAGATTTTCCAGATGAGTGACCAGGTTAAAGTTTTAGGAGCAGGTCCATTCCCAAGTAACTATAAGCCCTACCTGGACCAAACTTGCATGGATGATGCATCTAGGGATGGACACTACCACACTTGCTTGGGATGCTGGATCTGATGTAGATTTTCCAGATGAGTGACCAGGTTAAAGTTTTAGGAGCAGGTCCATTCCCAAGTAACTATAAGCCCTACCTTGACCAAACTTGCATGGATGATGCATCTAGGGATGGACACTACCACACTTGCTTCGGATGCTGGATCTGACCTAGATTTTCCGGATGAGTGACCAGGTTAAAGTTTTAGGAGCAGGTCCATTCCCAAGTAACTATAAGCCCTACCTTGACCAAACTTGCATGGATGATGCATCTAAGGATGGACATGGCCACACTTACTTCGGATGCTGGATCTGATGTAGATTTTCCAGATGTGTACCAGGTTAAAGTTTTAGGAGCAGGTCCATTCCCAAGTAACTATAAGCCCTACCTGGACCAAACTTGCATGGATGATGCATCTAGGGATGGGCACTACCACACTTGCTTCAGATGCTGGATCTGACCTAGATTTTCCGGATGAGTGACCAGGTTAAAGTTTTAGGAGCAGGTCCATTCCAAAGTAAATATAAGCCCTACCCGGACCAAACTTGCATGGATGATGCATCCAGGGATGGACAGTACCACACTTGCTTCGGATGCTGGATCTGACCTAGATTTTCCACATGTGAGACCAGGTTTAGATTTAGGAGTAGTCTCGTTCCCAAGTAACTATAAGCCCTACCTGGACCAAACTTTAATGGATGATGCATCTAGGGATGTACACTAACCAACCTGCTTCGAATGCTGGATCTGACCTAGGTTTTCCACATGAGTGAATTTTAGCCATATTTTAACCAAATCAGCATGGATGATGTATCTAGGGATGGATACTTCCAGACTTGCCTTGGATTCTGAATCTGACGTACATTTTCCAGATGAGTGACCAGGGTAATTTTTTGGAGTAGCTATATAATATTATGGCCTGTTATGATTAAACTTGCATAGATGGTGCATCTAAGGATGAAAACTTCCAGACTTGCTTTGGATGTTGGAACTGACCAAAATTTTCTTGATTACTAATTAGGTCAAAAGTTTTTTGAGCAGATCTATAATTAAATCAAACTTGCATGGATATTGATCTTGGGATGTACCCTAACTAGAAAAAAAATATGATGTGAAATTTGCCTTACATGTAGATAACATTCGTCGAGGTGAGCTTCGTAATCTTTGATTACCTATGTTTTTGGCATTGGGAATGGTTCCCCGTTTATCAGTACATGTACCAGTTATATTAGGAGGAAAATGCTGGAGCATATACAGAAGACATAATTTTAAGTATTGGAATATACATGTATTCAAAGATGTTACAATTGATTTTGTAATGATGATAATTTTGCAGATAATCAGGGAGGGGTACAACAGGTCCTGATTCAGCCTCAGGCGATGCGGTCCCCAGCCGCAAGTCCAGGTCTAAGCCAGAACATCCCTCAGCAGCAAACCATTGCAACGAATCAAGGGAAATTTGTATACTATTCAGGTAATGTAAATTATTACATTTTCAACAGTGAAATACTGTAATTATTCATTGAATAAAAGTGATATTTTGTCACAGTGTGAAAGGATACAGTAAAACTCATTTAGTACGAACACGGATATTGCGAATTCATGGATTTAGCGAAGTTTTTTTGGATCCCCAGTCATATAAATTTTATGAATTCCTTATATGGATATTACTAATTACGGATATAGCAAAGTTATTTAACAGGTCCCAGCGACTTCATTATAACCGAGTTATACTGTATCACAGTGATATCTTGTCACTGTTTGAAAGAATACCAGTAGTGCAGCAAAACTCAAGATTTTCTTTCTATTCAAAAAGAGTGTTGTAAAAATACTCTTTGGTCTGTAATGAGACAGAGACATTAAATAAACCACTCTGACATAAAATAAAACTACCAAAGGTTCTCCAAATACGTTGTTAAAATCCAAGTTTACAAGGTTTTTAATCGCATTAGATAGCTATGAAGTCTCAACTATGACACCTCAGCTTATTTCACTGTATTTCAAAAATACAGAGGCAAAGGGAAAATCAAAGAAAATGTAATAAACAGAAAGTTCAATATTTAATATAATTCAATATATAATTCGATATTTTCACACATACTTCACTCTTGTGAAAATATAAACCATTGCTACCATTAGGTAACTACTACATGAACACACTGCCTATATATGATTTTGTATAGATATCTTGCAAAGAACAGCTGATACATGTAGCACTAGTCATGATTGTACAATGTAGCACATGACCTAAATGTACCAGTATATTTATGCAAAATATGGAATGTTTTTGAATAGATACATGTAAAGTAACTAATTTTATTTCGTTCTCGGTGACTTTAATTTCTAATGAAATATTTCATGATGAGCACATTTACTCTATTTTAGCACCAAGCCCTACCCCTAAGGCTTCAGGAGCAGTGACAACCACAGAGAAAAGTGACATTGGTTTTGTGTCAGGAAATAATCAGAATGCAAGGCCTCTGAAGGTAAAAGCTACAATAGCTAATATTCCTGTGGCCACTGAAAGTTTCCCATCCACTCCAACCCCTCAAGGTAAATAATTTGTTACTTGCAAGTTGCATGCTGAGAAGAAAAAAGAATAATGACATAAATGAGAATCTTCATATCAGTAATTATAGTAATTATAGCACCAGAGGAAAAACTTCAAGGAAACACAACCTACATGTAAATGTACTGTATTTTTTTTTTATAAGGCATAAGAAATTCTTCAAGCCTTGCTGCTAACAGCCCTGCTGCCCCAAAAGCCCCAAGCCCACAACCAGCATACAGAAGCCCACCTACAATGATTGGGCAACACAAGCCCCAAAAGCCTTCTCCGCTAGTACTGGATAATCCTGCAATGGTTGAAGCTTCAGATTCAAAGGCAGAGGAGGAGAGAAAAGAAGAGGGTGACATTCGCCAGGAGAGGGCATGTAAGGGGCGAAAATATAAAGAACTTGTGGAGACAGGGGCAGTAACTCCTCGCAGGGAAAGAAAGGTAAGTTCTGTATGCCACATTGTCATTAGAATAATTGGAAACTTAAGATATTTTCATAATTAGATTAGATCAGTGTGTATAGAAAAATGGAAGATTTTATGCTATACAGTTTAAACAATGTAAAGTTGCAATCTTTGTTGGTACTTTTCAGACCTCTAAGGGAAGTTCTGGACCTGACTCCAGTGAGGAAAAGTCACCTGGCACCCATTTTACCCAGAAATCTCCGGTGCATGCTGCACTACCAGAGCAGAGCATGCCCGCACCCTCCCCTGCCACAACAGTTGGGACCCCTCTCAGCCCTCGACCAGTAAGTACAGGAATATAAAGTGATTGTGACCACTGTAAATAAGAATTATCCTCTACGTTTATGGTGTGTCAATTCAAATGATAGTTTAAACAATGTTTGTAAAATAGTTAGAAGGATACATCCTGTCCAAATGAATAAAATACTTTTGCTACTAAGACTAAATGATTTGCCATTTTTATAAAGTGAAAAAAATGTTAATCATATAAGTTGTAAAAGCAAGGGAAATAATTCCTCTTACTTTAAAATACATATTTTATGAGCAGAGCTTATGTCTTACAATAGTTATCTTTCTTTGTAAGCACATGTACTTGCATTTGTTATAATGCAGAAATATTTTACCTATGTCCTACTCATTAGAATATTAATAATTCTATTGTTGTACTTTCTAGAAACATAAGCCCCCTCCCCTGCCTGTTTCATTATCCCAGAGTTCCTCTATTCCCTCCCAAAGTCCAGCTCAGAGCCCTAAGAAGGTCACATTCAAGAAGAAATGTGAGGATGGAATGGAAAAGTAAGCAATGAGGACTGGGTCTTGTTTGTTGTTAAAGTCAGAAATGAACATTTATAAAGATAAAATAAAAACCACAGCAGTATAAACATCTTTACTAATTGGAATATTGACCATAATCAACAATTTTTCTCGGGTTATTCCAGTGATTTATAATGCGTTGATTTCAGAGTGCTACAGGTGGTGGATTTTGAGCAGAAGTTTGACCGATTGCCACAGTTTATCCCTGAGGAGACAGATATGTCATCTCCTCTCCCCCAAAGTCCTCGAGGAATTATCAGCAACTACAAACAGCGAAAGAGGAAAATGTCCTCACTAGGTCAGAGCTCTAGTTAATAATGTCCTTATAAAGTTAGTGTACTGATTAAAAAAGTCTTTTGTCAACATTAGGGGTTATAATGTCCTTATAAGGTTTATGTGTGGAATTATCAGCAAGTACAAACAGTGCAAGAGAAAATGTCCTCACTAGGTCAGAGCTCTAAATAGAATGTCCTCATTAAGTCAGTGTACTGATTAAGAAAGTCTTTTATCAATGTTAGGGGTTATAATGTACTTATAAGGTTAATGTGTGAGGTCAGAATCCTCGAGATCAATATCAATACTAGAGTTTACACATCATACATCAGTGCATTTCCAGTCAGAAGCATTTGATTTCTATCCATTTCCTAGCAAGAATTTTAATCACCCAAAATCATCTATCAAAAGAGAAAAAATTTTGAAAAATCGTGTCAAGTGCCCGAGTGTGTAGAATAAGAAAAGGACCTTTTTAATTTTCTGATTTAATCTACAAAACTTTTTTTTTTGTCTTCTGAGTGTAATGCTAAATAACAGCTGTCATTGACTCATTGTTAATTTTTAGAAAGTAGATTTTGCATGCTTGAAAGAAAATGTTACTTTGCAATTTAATATTTTTATGATGTAGCCTAAAACTTTTACCAGTTTTTAGGTCAGTACTTCAAATTCTACATTAACATTTAAATGGTGTCTATTAAATGCTATGAAGTAAAATATTTTTTTGTCTTTTTTTTTTTTTACAGCCACGGGGGAACTAACTCCTCGGGAAACAGAAATGGAGGGAATTTCTCCAAGCCCAAGTTACAAGAAGTTGTCCAGTGAATCAGAAGCCAACACTCCTCATACCCCTCATAGTGCTCGTTTTGAGGATAACATGTTTTTTGGGAAAAACTTTGATATTGAACAGATGGCACTATCAAAGAATGCAGGTTAGAAAAAATGAACACATTGAAACTACTATAATAAGGGTTTAAATATTGTATGGTAATGGTTATTCAAGCATGATCCAGTGACATTGATAAAAAATGACGTGCATATATTTTTTGCAGAGGGGTTAGTGATAAGATTTTGTTTTCAACTGTCCTAAGGACATTTCCTTTTTATTGTGACATTATATTCAATAATAGAACAAATAAAAGGAGAAAAATAGTCTCTTTTTATGATAACTTTTTCTATAACATTATTTACAGAGGATTTTGGAGAGGGTAGCATTGCTTGTTCCCCCAGAACTCCAAACTCCCCAGCAGGACAGTTTTCCTCCCTGCGACGAATCCTTGATCAGAGACGACAGCTTGTGATGCAGCTCTTTGAACAATTTGGATTGTTTCCCTCAGGTTAATTTTAATTGATTTCACAATAAATGCACTATTCATTAATTATGTAAACAGGGAGTTTACATATACATAACTATATTAGTAGAACATGTAGATGAGTACATTTTTTTCTTTTAGCCCAAGATACAGCCAATTTTCAGGCAGAGCATGCGTCTGTTTTCCCCAGCAAGGTTTGTTTGCAGTTGAAGATCAGGGAAGTACGTCAGAAAATGATGGCCCAGTCAGCAGCGGCAGAAAAGGCTGGAGCTGGTGGAGATGCAGGTCAGAGGTCATCAGAGACGGCTCCAAACCCAGAGCCATCTGGTGGTGGAGATGGCCGTGATTCAGGGGGAGTGAATTCAATGTCATTACCTCCCCACTCTGAGGGTAATTTGGAATAAAAGTGCTATTTTAATGTTTGAGACTCAAGGTGTAAATATTTTTTTTTTGGATCAAGTATTTGTTATATATTCTGTATTATCAAAGTGCAAATTATTTGTGTGTTAGGTAATATTTTGTTTTGTACAGAACTTTTGTTTAGCAAAAATGTTTTTTAAATGGCAAATTTGGTGATATTTTATGGCATTGTATGAGAAAGACACTGTAGACTCCTGAATTAAAGCATCTCTGTGAAAAAGATGCTATGTGTTGCAAGTTCAGAGTTTGTGAAATTCTTGAATTGATATGGTTAGTGTAAGGAATAATCCATAGAAGTGCCAAAGGGAGAAAAATTTGAAGAGAAATAACCAATGGCAGATTCAATATGTCATATTAGAGAAAAAGGGGCAGGCCCTCATTTTGTTTACGTACAGATCATGAATTTTAGTCAACATTTTATTTCTCTCTGTGTTCTAACACAGTGTACAGTTATAGATGAGATTATATATACTGTTATAGATACTGTTTTTTATTGGAGTTGTTTGTTATTTAATGAGTTCTTGTTTTTGTCTCCTAGCTGTTTTAGCTTCAAGTTGTTCCCTGTGTATGTGACAACATTGTTGTCTCAGTTTTTATGTTAAGACTTTCCCTATGTTGTGTCTGTACATGTTCAGTGATTGATTTATTGCTATTATTAAATGATCAAAAGTTCATTATGAAACTTCACAATTTTATTTCCACATTTTTTCATATTATACTCCCCCCCCCCCCCCCCCCCCACCACCACCACCACCACCAACACACATGTAGGTGGTTGGTAAGTGTTATAGTAAATATAAATGAAGTCCATTAATTTACATGTAGTTGTATTAAAAAACTGTGAATTACAGATAGGAGATACACTTGCTTGTTTTAAGAAATAAAATCACAGAAATGATACTCTGCTGAAAAAGAAGTGTTGAAAATCTCAATGTACATGTATGCGCAAGATTCCTTGCATAAGTTTTTGGGGGGAAGGGGGGGGGGGGCATTTTCACATCTTTTGAAAGTGAAACCTATCATGAATCTCCTTGCGCAAATTGACGCTTCATGTTTAAATGAGCTTTTATTTGGTAAAAAAAAAAATCATTATTGTTGTCAGGGAAACCACTTTAGACAACTTTTATCTATTTTTTTCTTTAAATAGAAGTGAACAGTCACATTAGAATAAAAAAATAAAAGACTTTGTTTTTGAAGGTTTTGGAAAAAAAATTTTTAATTACAAATCTAATGACAATACATAAAGATATACCACAGATATTTTGTTTATTTTGATAGCCAAAAAAAAAAAAAGAAAACTGAACTATATAAGATTTTGTTCTTTAAAATTTTGTACACTTTGTGAAAATGGCACTTTTAAAGCATTATATTTGTAGCATGCAAGTTTAACTTGCCTGTATTACAGGTAAGTGTGATGAATTTAGGGGGAAAAATACTATTAACAGAAAAATCAACTAGAAAATCAAAATTTCTTGTCCATGAGGTTTACATCAAAAACAAAAGCTCAGCCATGCTAAGAAATTGCTCATTTGCCATTTCTTTGTTTTTAATTTGAGGAAATGGGGGGAAGGGGGAGGGGGTCCAACTGGTTTGCTAAACTACATGCATGTTTAATGTTTTGCTCACAGATACATTTTGAGGGCAGCATTTTTATGCTCCCCCCCCCCCCACACACACACACACAAACAAAGGAAGATGTGGGGAGGGGTATATTGGAATCAGCATTGTCCATCTGTCTGTAGAAATGATTTTGTCTGGACTTGTTCTTAGAAACTATTCCATGTACATGGATTTGTCTGAAAAGTTGTTCACTCCTTATTCACCTTGTAAAGATGTGCACCTGATATTTTAATCATGATTTGACAATTTTTCTTCATTTTACAGGTGTTTTTTTCATTTTTATGGACTTAGTCATTTTGTTTTAGAATTTTATGATGGTAACTTAAAGGTTATAAGGCCTTGAATCATCAAACTTTGTCAATTGGTGCATCATGGGTAGAAGGTGTGCTACACATTAAAGTTAAGTCACTATAAACTTTTAAGATGATATGGCCAATATGACAAAAATCTGTCAAGCTCATAAATGGAAAATTAGTTGGCTTAGAATCATCAAGCTTTATCAGTAAGTGCATCTATTGTAAAGATGGGTAGCACCCTACCTCAATGTCACTGTGACCTTTAATTAAAAGAAAATGATGTGGCCAAATATCTCAAAACTCTTTTTTGGCTAATGTAGATGACTCCAATGTCAGAAGGCTATTAGTATCATTCCTGTTGGAGCATTCCTGATCAAGCATGTGTTATCCATATCTCTAGGGAATTAGACAAAAGAATTAAAGATTTTGCCCTAAGATAATAAAACAGACTTAAATCAAAATTTTAATCATTTATAAAATATTTATTAATTACTTGTGAACCGAAAGTCTTAATTTGCATACAACAGTAGTCTATTGGTGCAAATTTTAAAGTTAAAAAGCATTTTAATTTTGGACTGCTGATTTATTTCTTAATCATTTCAGCACAATATACATTTTTTGTCTAAAGCTAAAGATGTTTCATGATCCTAGGGCCAGGACCCAGAATCGTGATGCAGTCTTAGATTTAAGTCCAAATTTCAGTCATTCATGAAATGAATTAGAAACTGATTCTTGAAAATTAAAATAAACAGCATGAAAGGGAATCAAACCTTTATAACATTTTAAATTTCAGGTGGTTTCTATTGTAAGAATTTAAGACCATTGACAAGTTTTGACTTAAGTCTAAAACTGCTTCATGATCTTGGGACCAGGTCTCTCAATTTGCAGTTGATAATATCTGTCAAATTGACATAAAAAGTTCTTGATGGCCAACCTTTTATTTTGGATATTGTATAATTTGATTTTTAATTATTTTTTTTTCATATTTCAACAAAGAAATTGCAGTGTCATGTCTCTCTAAGATGATAGATGGTTGCAATGAAGTTTTTCAATCTAATAAATAACAATATAATGAATAGCATTTTGATGCTTTATTAGGCTGTGGCATAGTTCATCATTCATACGAAATAAAATGTGCAAATAAATTTTGACTGTCAATGTTAACATTGTGAACACACTCTAGATCTATAAAATACTATAGTCCATGTACATTTGGTAAATAGTGATGGTACCTTTCCTGAAAAACACAGTTGGGGTATTAGTGCATTCTGGACAGTTCCAGTTCTTGGTTTTTTTAATTGAATATTCTTTCAATATTAACCTGTCCTTCTTATAAATTCTGAATAAATCTTCAGTATTTTTCTCCTAGCAATCATTCATTAGAGTACATAAAAAAATCTGAATTTTAATTACTTAACTCCAAAATATATACAGGGAAAAAACACAAAGTTTTTTTTTAAGTTGTTATAAGCTATGTGCAGGTTTTTAGATTTTGTCTTATTTGTTGATGCTTTTTCTAGCAATAGTTTAATTATTCCTGTTCACTTAAATGTAGACCTGCAATATGACTTTTAAAACTTTCATGTAACTTGTGCTTATATGTCAGCTGTATGCTTGCATTTTCCTTAGTTATGTAAAATACAATGGGTTAGTTCAAATTTTATTACGGTACTTTTATCTCTTCATTGCATTTATATTTTCTTTGAATCTCTTATAAGTTTCTTTCTGTATGTTATATTTGAAACAATTTAAATCAATTCTTTAGGAATGTGGATGAAATACTGGTTATTACAAATGAAATTAGGGATGTGTGGTCCATTGTATGAAGTGGACGATCTTTAAAGTGAGGTGATAGCCTTTTTGTAGAAGTCAATTTTGTACAAACTTCATTCCTCAGAGTTTTTTCCTTATAGTGAACAAAGTTCTTGATACTAATACATTTACAGTGTATATTTCATTACAATCAAAATTTCATAAAAGTCTCAAACACATCCTTAAGTTTTGAACAAACTTTTTTCAATAATAAAAAGAATTATTTGAGGTTGTTACTTTTCCTTTATACCTAATTTTCTCAAACATAAGAAGAAAAAAGAAAAGAGAAAAAATCTTGTTTTTGAGGACCTGAATCAGAGGGCTGTTTAGTTTTGTATGTGAGTACATGTAAATAATGAAATGTGGTCTTTTGTTGAACATAGCATCTATGTTACTGTTATCTATAAATATGTGATTTGTTTTATAATTACAATAATAAATGTCATATTTGATGTCAACTCTTGGTTTGATTTTTTAATAGTTCTTAGCTCTTCTGTTTAGACAGTGTGTTTACAAACAAAAATGTAGTGGGAGGGTTGATAAGTTTCCAAATATTCTAAATGTTTATTGATTGGGGGGGGGGGGAGATCTGATTAATGTCTACATGCAGTAATTAGTAGTCCCATCCAATTTTCAGTTGTAGTCATTGTTTACAAATAATGTATTTTCAGAGTACATGTATACTAATACTGTTCCTTGGATTTGAGTGCAGTTTTTAAATTTGTACTTGGGAACCTCTAAATATGATGCTGTTTTCTCTGGATACTTGGTAAGGGGCTAGAGTTCTCAGATGATTTCCTCTAACAGTTTAGTAGGCTTATTTTATCATGATGTCTTGGTTTAAAATATAAGTACAAGGAAAATAAGGACTAAGTGTTAAAACAATAAGCACATGTCCTTGGGATAAACAGTAGTCCACATCCTTTTTAAGAGTGATTAATCTGAAGTTTGTATACAATCAGGGTTGTCATGTTGAAATTCACTATGTGACCAGTTGAGGTTTTAGTGGTAAAGGATGACTGCACTTAAGGAAATGCGAAATTTGCGACAAAATAATCTTTCAAAAGAGGCATTTTTCTTTTCATTCATTGCAAGAATAGTTAACATCCAATCTACAACTTAATGTAATTACGTTTAATAAAAGTATGTATTTACGAAGTTCAAATCTGTTTTCAAAGGCAGGGATCATCACAATTTCTTGAATCTTCGTACGATAATGAGGACGCCCACTTTTTTACTGACTTTATACATAGTCAGCGCATGTTTGTCTATTTTTCTACGTTTAACAGTAGTTGTATATTTGCATAAATAATAATGTGTCAAAAGGAGATTAATAGACAAACATGCGCTCATGTTTAAAAAGAGAAAAAACTGCTTCTTCTTACATTTGCTCTCTGTGTTGTAACCAAGGATTGTGACATGTTGAATATTATAATTCACCACGTGATGTCCTACCTCAGGTAACTTTGTGAATGCTAAATTCCGCCACGTGACTTGTAAGGTAGCATGATTGTGCTAACTATAGGACATTGTGTTCGAACACGTTAAGTCATCTGGCATTGATATACAATCTGCTTTAATTACATTGACGTGCTCATATTGCTAGTTTCGTTTTGAAACCTTTGTCAGAAGTGTATTTGTGCCATACAGAATGGAGAGGGATATTGGAAAGAGTGATCACATTCTTTTTTCCAAACATGTCATTCTTATTTATCAAGCCTAATCTTAGACCCATTTTTACAATGTTAGCTCCACCTCTCATGCATATCTAATGTTCAATCAAGGGCAGGTAAGTGTAAATTCACTATATTTGGAAAGCAGTAAGGACAAAAAACATTGAATCATTTTATTGTATCACAGTCTAAAATCATTTTAAGAATTTAAATTTGGTTCCAAATTGACAGGATTCTTTCATAAACATACAAAAGTGAAATAAGGTTTAGATATAAAAGCAACAGAAGCAACCGAAAAGGACCCCAAAACAGGCGTTAAGTGCAGTCTTCCTTTGTTCGTAGTACCTATATCATGGCAAGCGATCACAAGGTATTTTTATGCAACATGAAATATGATGTAAGGTCAAGTGATTCATCTATAGAAAACCGCAAATTGAAGTCATAATTCTGATACAATACATCGTCTCAATCATATATATATATATATATATATATATATATATATATATATATATATATATATATATATATATATATATATATATATATATATATATATATATATATAAGTATGCTTCATTTCCTTGATGCTGGATCGAAATAGGCATAAAATAAGAGCATTTATATTACTAATACTCAGGTCTTTGTTTTTGTGTACTCAGAGGACCTCAGTATTTAAAGAACGTGACATTGCTTAGCAATGCACAACTGACTCAAGTAAACAAGACAAGATTATGATGATCTTAGTTCTTTTGACCTCTTCATAACAAGAGGCCCATGGGTCTCAACGCTCACCTTAGTCAATATGGTCCTGCTGTTCTTCATCAGCAGATTTCTTCTCCTACATATTTATATGTAAAGCTTTGATCACCTATTCTAGTTAATCTTACCTCTAGATGTCAGGTTTTGAACAAAATTGAATCTTAACTATCTAAGGATGCCTCCGTATTCATATGACTTATCATGACTTTGCTGGTCTTGAAAACAGAGTTTTAAAGATGTATGCCACCCTGCTCTTGGAAGGGGGTGGGGGTTATGGTTTGAACAAACTTGAATCTATAATACCAGGGGATGCATCCATATGCATGTGACTAATCATGGCTTTGTCATTCTTGAAAAGAAGATTTTTAAAGATTTTTTCCTATATATGTTCATATGTAAAACTTTGATCCCCATAATAGGCCCACCCTACTACTGGAGGATGACTTGAACAAACTTGAATCTAAAATACTTGGGGATGCTTCCATATCAACATGACAAATCATGGCTTTCTTCTTCTTGAGAAGATTTTTAAAGATTTTTCCCTATATTTTCCTATTTAAAACTGACCCCACATTGTGGCCTCACCCTACCCCTGGGGGTCATGATTTGAACAAATTTGATTCTTCACTACCTGAGGATACCTCCATATCAGTATGTCTAATCGTGGCTTTGTTGTTCTTGAGCCGATTTTTAAAGATTCTTGAAAGATTTTCCCAATATATTCCTATGTAAAACTTTCCCCACCCCCACCCCGGGCACCCCCTCATTGTGGCCCAAACTTAACCCCAGGGTCAAGATATTAACAAATTTGAATCTACACTACTTGAGGATGCTTCCATATTTGACTAATTGTGGCCTTTTGTTCTTGAGAATAAGATTCTTTAAAGATTTTTCCTATATATTTCTATGTAAAACATTCTTCCCTTATTGTGGCCCCACCCTCCCTCTAGGGGTCAGGATTTCTATACTATCTGAGGATGGTCCCATATCAATATGAATCATCGTGGCTTTGTTGTTCTTGAGAAGATTTTAAACATTTTTTTCCATTATATCTAAATGTAAAACGTCCACCCCCCACCCCCATTGTGGCCCCACCCTACCCCGAGGGTCCTGATTTGAACAAACTTTAATCTACGCTATCTGACGCCGGACAAAATGTGATCAGAAAAGCCCATGAGCTTTCAGCTCAGGTGAGCTAAAAAATATCAAATCAAATTACCCCCCCCCCCCCCCTTAGGATGGGTACATTTAAAAAAAATCAACAGCATCCTCGTATTTACAAAAGGCAGTAATAAAAAAATCATATTTTTAACTTGTTACAATTCCATATGTATTTGAACCAGAATGAGGTATGCATTTTTATAATACGCCACAAATCAAACCAAAAACCTTTTACAGACAGAGATGCGTTAATTAATATTAGTGTGACTCACGGAGTCTTTATCAGGTAAACCATCGTATTTTTCAATGATTCGAACACTGCTAATGAATTTTACGTAATTTGATAAGGGACTTATCGTTACTGAGCAAAGTTTTCCTTTAAATTTTTTTTATATTGAGCTGCAGATGTCAAGTTTTTGGAGTTCTTGTAAGAACACTGAAAACAAGTCTTGAAAATTTGACCAAATATTTGCAAAAAATGAATAAGTGTGGATTTAAGTACATAACATAGATTTTAACAGTGTTTTGCAAGTGATATTCAGTTCCATAGCAACGGTTTCAAACGTGTTGGGGGGGGGGGGGGGGCAATTTCCAAAAAATCAGAAAAGCAAAAAAAAATAAATAAATAAATAAATTAAAAAAAAAAAACCTAAACTGACCAAAAAGTGAGAGGATCAACTTCCCCCCAAAAAATCTGATAGGCAAAAAAACTGTGCCAATCCTACAATTTGCCAGTGCTAGACCTACATATGTAACAACAACAATAGTGGGGGTACCAACCGGCATATAAAGGAACATTTACTATAGTAATATACTATGCTCAGAAAGGGGAGGGGGGCTGCCCCCCTTCCGCGGTCTAGGAGCCTAATATTTTCGTATGGTTATATTGTACGTGTATATCATGTACTCTAACAGACAAGTATAGGCAAACATAATTTGATAAATATAAGTAAAATTAAAATCCTCGTATTTCTGTTCCTTAACGTTGACTCCGTCTTTTGCATAGTTTAAATCTCAGAACAACGTCTTGATTTGTATTACTTATAGGGAAAAATGGGGGGGGGGGGGGATCCGGATAAGAAAAGATGATGTAAGCCAGAGACGGTGTAAACTGATCCTGGGTTTCCACTTTTAAAGAAGGTGCCACTTACATACAACTGGGTGCTTGTAATGCTGCATATGAATTTGAATTGGATTAAAATGTATTATTTTCTTTCTATTGTACGAAAACATATTAGTGCCACGTAATATTTTTTTTAATGTTGATAATTCCAACTTAAAAGTTGGCTTTTCCAACTTTGGAGTCGGTGCGACTTTTCAATTATGAATAAAATAAATATAATGGCCAGTCAGTTTCCCTAGATTCAAAGTACTATTCTAAAATCAGTTCTATTTACGTGTGATGTTCAGAAGTCTGTCTTAATAAGTTGATTTTTGTCTCTGATTTTTTTCACGAAAGCCTATTAGGATCAAACTACGGTAAAAAAAAAATTAAAAGGCGTTATAACGCCTTTTCAAAAGGCGTTATAACGCGAAAAAAGAGCGTAATAATGCCTTTTTAAAAAGGCGTTATATCACGGAAAAAGGCGTAATAACGCAAATAAAGGCGTTATAACGCCTTTCCAAAAGGCGTTATAACGCGAAAAAAAAGCGTTATTACGCCTTTCCAATAGGCGTTATTACGCCTTTCCAAAAGGTGATATTACGCCTTTCTAAAAGGCGTTATTACGCCTTTCCAAAAGGCGTTATTACGCCTTTCCAAAAGGCGTTATTACGCCTTTGAAAAAGGCGTTATTACCTTTCCAAAAGGCGTTATTACGCCTCTTTTTTTCAATACATGACTTACTTAGCCCACC